ATTAATTCAGAGTTAAAGGGGAGGGAGAACGGACCGTGGATACCTGCAAGCCCTCGGGTCGCGGTACCAACACAAGGATCTTCCTGACCTCGGCCAGAGACCACCTGTGTATCCAAAACGTCGAAATCGAGTAATTCGACATGGGGAATTATAGCATCGATCACCTCTGAAGTAGTATTGAAAATTGGTAAGTATGCCTTGCCTTTGCGATTGGTGACAACAGCGTCACCTAAAAATATGCCGTCTTTAGATTCTAGACGTGGGAGATATCCTTGAGATTTTTCGGGGTTAGTGATTATGACGCAAAAGGGTGTCGCGGTACGCGGTTTGATTTCTATATGTTCTGCCTCGGCGAACGGAATGTGTACTGTACCGCACGAAATCGATTTTTCCTTATAATTTATAGTAGCGTCATGCTGAGAAAAAAAATGCTGTGCCTAAGACACCATGCTGTTTGAGTACAAAATTCTTGGGCAAAATGTGGAATTTGGTTTGCTTCCCTAGCAAATTAATGAGTGTAGAGCCGAAGGTACAAATAGGTTCCGGTGAAATACCTTGTAGTATCATTTCGTCGTTTTTATCGATTTTCGCGTTATCATTGAGGCATTGCCTCCTTATTAGATTAACATCGGACCCTGAATCGACCATGAAATTGAAGGCTCCCTTTAAGTCTTCGGAAGACAAAATTACATTTGGAGCGCTTGTCTTAATTATGTTTTTCACTGGGTTGGCTCGTTTGTCTCCTGAAACCTTACATTCGGACGTCCCGTTTTTTCCGTCGCGTCCCGGCGGACGTCGCTCGTTACCGGAGCGCGTGTCTCGTTTCCCGACTCAGCATTTTGAGTTACGGTATTTTGAATCAGAGGAGCGGCTTGTTGTTGCGGATATGAATTTCGATATTTTAATTTAACACAATCATTTATGAGATGTCCCTCGGTTTTACAGTATCGGCAAAATCTCCCGGAAGGGGCATTGGGACCAGGTTGTCCAGGAACGAGGGGTTTGATGAATGGTGAAGAGGATCTCTGCAGGATACTTCGAGGTTGATTAGGATCAATTTGTGGATAAGTTCCTCGGGGAATCAAGGGAGTATCTTGTCTTGTAAGGGGCGTAGGGGGATAGGATTTAGTAAAAGAGGCTTTACGTCTCTGTGTTTCGGTTTCTAAGCTTTTAGACATCTGTATCGCCTTCATAAATGCTTCATCTAAGTTGTTATAACCTTCTATTTTAACGCGAATTAATAACT